GTTCCTGAGGTGACGTATTTTTTCCCCATAATCAAGGGAGGCAGGTCTCTGCAGTGAACAGCTTGTTCCAGGAGTCGTGCCCCAGCACAAGGTTTCGTTTGTTTAAATAGCTCTGTTTATACAAAGGGCACATCAAAGTTAAAATATTTTTAATAGGATAATGCCAAAATATTTGGTTGCAAACTGAAAGATGACTTAAATGCATCTGGGTATTTTGATTTTTCAAGAACTTGAGCTTTTAGATGGACGTGTTTTCCAACCAAGATCTCTCTTGCAAGTTGGTCTGGGAAGTGAGCAAGTGTTTAAAAAAAAAATGATGGTCCTCTTTTGTGGTTTGCAAGTATTTTACTATCAAAGTTAATACTGATGAGGGCCATTCATGTAGCTGACAGTCTGCCAAGCCCTTTATAGCATGAAGAACAAAGCGATAGGACATTAAGTCTTAATTTAGGGAACCAATCCAAACCCAGACGCCTTTCTTCCCCTCAGCTGGGTGAATTCCTGAAAGACTGAGGCAGCTTTGGGCTTCTTGGATCATGACAGGTTTTCTGCCTGGGCCAGGTTCAAGGCCTCTGCAGAATTTTTGAGGACAGGCTCAATGAGGTACATGGCTCCTGATGCCCCCAAATGCCTAGATAAATTGAGACCTCTCTACAAATGAACTCAGTTATCACCAAAAGGCCCAGAATTAGAAATTTAGTTGGAAGAGGCAGGACTATTTGCTCTGTGGTTTGGAAAATATAATGTTGCCCTTTTCTGCTTTCCAAAATTTATATCTGTGTAAGACTTTCAGCATAATTTTTTTTTTTTTTTTCTCTACTTTTCAATAAGAAGAAAGAGGAGAGGGAGCCCTTCAGCTCCGTAAGAACTGCCTATGGCCTGAACTTGGGGCTGAAATAAATATTCCCACATTAACAACAGGTATGAGGGAGGTTTTCCCGTCAGATGGAGAAGTTCTCATTACGCCCTTCAATTTAACACAACCAACATTTCTTGACTACTTCCCAAGTGCCAGGAAGCCTTTGAACTCAGGGTCAATGATCTGCTCACCACCCCTCAGCCAAAGCCTCAGTGGTTGGTGCATTCACCCTGCCACACGTATCACCCCAAAAAGGCCAAGTGGAATTTGAAATAGAGAAAAATGCCCAGAGATCACCAGTTCAATTCCCGTCAGGGCACATACCCGGGATCCCCAGTAGGGGGCGCGCAGGAGGCAGCCGATCAATGTTTCTCTGTCATTGATGTTTCTCTCTCTCTCCCTTCCTCTCTCTTTAAAATCAATAAAAACATATTTTAAAAGAAAGAAAGAAAAAGGGACTGAACAGTCTTATAATGAAGTATAAGTATGCCCCAAACATTATGGAGGACTACTTATGCTAAAAGTTTATTTTCACTATTTATTTGAAATTCACCTTTAACTAAGTGTTCTGTATTTTGTCTGGCGAGCAAAGCCAATGGACAAAGGCATGCAGTCAGTGTCTTAAAAAGGAGGGAATATGTTTCTTCAGGAACTTTGAAGGTGTCTGGTAATAAATGAGAACATTATAAATGCTGATTCCAATCATTATTATAATGCTAGTCCCATAAAATTATGGAATTTATCATGTTCTATAAAGTAATGAGTCTCTAAACCAGTGTAAGTTGAACTTTTGTAACTCAAATGTTTCCCCAGTAGTTTACGTTAAAATTTTAGTAATGTTTCTTCCTCCTCTATGATTAATCTTCGGTCGATTCTGGATCGATTTTAACTTTGTATGTTCCCAGGTTTTTTAGTTAATGATCTATTCAGAAATTCTTAAATGGCTCCAGGGACCCCATCCTGTGAGCCCTTTTGCAAAACAAAGAGTCTTTTTTAGGCATTTGAAGACTTTTCTTGTGTTTTGATTAATCACCCCTAATATATCAGTTTTAGAAGTTCAAGCGTGGATGTCTGAAACTGAGCACACCTAATTTCCTCTTTTATAGCTTATTATTGAAAAAAATCACAAATAGCATAAGCAGCTCGTTTTTCAAAATAAGTATTCATTTCCTTAAATCAGAGTGATTTAAAGTTTTGTTTTGTTTTAAGAAAAAAGAGAACTTCCCGAGGAAGTCCAGTGAGAAAGTGTTCAGAGGAAGTGTTCAGGGGAAGTGACAAATTCAGAGCACTCTCCTCTCTTGGGTCCCGCTTGGGAAAGTGTGACTCTCAGGGAACGGGGCCCTTTCTGACCGCCCAAGACGACCCTGTGGGCATTGAGCGCTAACACTCCACGCTGCAGGGAGCTGGCGGGGGGAGGGCGAGTCCCCTTGGAGATGGTTAGTCAGCTCCACTCTCAGGTGGAAAATGACTGTGCCGGTCGGCCACCCGGCTAACCCCGTGAGGCAGGCTGTTCATAGTGGAGCCTTTCATTTCATAACGGTGTCGTTCACACCTGAGGTCCCAGTGTCCCCGTGAAAGATGGACTCTTTCTGTCCCCTCTTAATGTGAACTAATTCATTCAAAAATTATTGAGGGCCTCCAGGGACCAGATGCTATTTAAGCCCTGGGGATCCACTGGTGAGCAAGCCAAGCAAAGGTCCCTGCATGCTGGAGTTCACATTCTACCAAAGAAGACAGACAGTAAACCACAGACGTAACAAAGAAGGCCCACCATGTGTTGGGAGGGAGTAGTGTTATGAGGGCAGGAGGGTCTGGATTTGGGCTTGAAAGGAATTGCATCTAAGTAGGGAGGTCAGGGTGGGACTTGGCAGCCAGGACATTTGAGCAAAGATGTGAAGGGGTCGTGGGGAGTAAGCCACTGGGTGCTCTGAAAAACAGTGTTCTAGGCAGAGGGAAAACAGCCCGAGTCCCTGCTTGTGTCTTACTTATAGTTCTCAACCCACATGATTTTGTCACCAGGGGACATTTGGCAGTGTCTGGAGGCACTTTAATTTGTCACTACTTGGGATAGGCGGAGTGCTACTGGCATCTAGTGGGTAGAGACTAGAGATGCAGCTAAACATCCTACTATGCACAGGACAGCCCCCCCCCCCCC